CCCTAAGTCCGAAAGTAACCTCACCGCATCTTACCGCAAACATGCGGTCCTTTGTAAATGATTCCAAGAAGAGGTAGTGAGGTCGGGGCAGGCGTGTCTTCAGCTTGAGCAGGAGACCGGTGTGCTACACCCGGTCGAAGGCTTGTTTGCCGTACTTCTTGGTTTCAAAGGCGTCCAGGATATACTGCACTACTCTGCGGCATTGCTCTGAAGTTCCGTGGGACCGCCTGAATACAAACTGGTGATCGGGGATCAGACTAGCCTCGTCCAGTACCGGCAATGCCCTATTCAAAAATAGTCGTTCTAGGATTTTAGATGGTATCGACAGAAGACTAATCAGACGGTCAGAGGCAAGAATGGCATCACGTTTTCCGGGCTTAGGTATCATGGTTACCTGGCCACGTTTCCAGGTGGTCGGAATGTACCCAATTTGTTGTAAATCCTTATTAATAGTTTGATGCTTGGAGGTGGAGCAGTCCTAATGCAATTGTATTGATACAATCATAGCTCGGGGCCTTGTTCCGTTACTGGTGCAATTGGGACGTCATCTCGAGCGGGCTCTGCCAAGAGTCGGACTGTCTCTGTAACCTCTTCAGACGAGCAACGGTTGAACGGGGTTAACACGTTCTCAAGGTGTTCGGCGAACGCGTTGGCCCGGTACATCTCTGATCTTCACTAACTGCATGGCCTGGTTAGCTGGCCTGGTGGAATCCTCTTCAGAGGCCCTCTAATGTCTTTCGTGACGCGTCTCAGGTTGTTTTTTGGGTGACCCGGTTCCAGCTGTTCAGCGAAAAGTCGTCAAAAGCTTCCTTTCTAAGATTCGCCAGGAGTTCTGAGAGCCATTTAGAGACTCTATTAAGTGCAGTCTTTTATCTCGGGGTTCTGGAAAACATTCATACCCGCCTGAGTCGCCGCTTTTCCACCTTAAGAGCCGTGACATCCGGACTCCAAAAGTGTATGTCCCTGTCAGTGGCTCTCAGGCGGTTGGAGAGCCTTGCAGATTTTGTGCTGCCGCAGCTTGGATTTGTGCGGTTAGCTCCTCGACGGCCGCTTCTATCTGGTCGGGAAATTCCAGTATTGTGTTGGCGGTAAATTTCTTTACTTTATCATTGGACCAGTTGAACTACCGTCAACAAAATATATTATATATGTTTTTAGTTAAGTCCTCCATAAGTCCCTGTTCCCAGCGGTAATACCGCTAGGCTTTGCTACGCAGGGCCAGACTTATTTTCACTCCGCAGTGAGGAGGTCCATTGGGACCATGCCTGCGATGACGAGAGCTACGTCATCCGAGATAGTGCAGAGGCCCGAGCAAACCGTTAGGGCGCATAATCTATACGCGCTATGATCCTTCATAATCTATGAAGGAATAAACCTATATAAAGGTTTATTTCCTTCATGTACGACTTTGTTTTGGCTGTCTCCGCCAACACGGGGCCTGCGTTTAGCATCGTTGCGCTGCAGACGGTTTGGAGCAGTAATCTGCGTCCTTGCTTTGGGCCCCTACAGCTAAGCAAAATATTCCCCAGGGCTCTGGTCGAGCCTTACGATTGGCTTCTACGAAGTGCTCCCAGACGCTGAACCTCGTGTCCAGCGTTACTCCCAGGTACCTGATGGCCCTGGTTGATGTAACCGCGTATGTAACCTCCACCCGCTTCCTGCTTGACATCAGGATAGCCTCCGTCTTGTGGTGGGCTTGGCTTAGCCTTGCCTGGTCGAGCCAATCGATGACACTTTCAATTGCAGCATTGCAGGAATCCTCTACTTCCTGGATTGTCTTGGCGACAGCCACTACTGCTACTGCTCTTGGATGCCTGTGGTCGTTTCGTACCTGATAGTACGATCGCTAAGGTACGACCTTGTCACCTCCAAAATGCCAGTCGGCACTCAAAGATTATGCAGCGCCTTCACAATGACGTCCCTCCTGGCAGTGTTAAAGGCGTTCTTGGTGTCCAGTGTGGCGATCAGGCAGTATTCTTTGTTTCCGCCCGCCCATCTGGTCCCCTCGATTGCCTTGGCTGCGATCCTCCTTACCAGCGAAATTGCATCAACCGTAGAACGGTTTTCCGTAGGGGGAGAGATCTCCTGCGCAGATTACAGCCTCCTGGAGCCTCCGGCATATGCAGCGCTCTAGGGCTTTGTCGGCATGGCCTATTAGTCAGATCGACCCAAGGGACGACGGAGTCTCTGGCGGCTTTCCTGGTTTTGGTAGCAAGATCAGGCTTTGGATTTTCGGACAGAATCTTGGACACGAGGTTTGACCCCACTCCCAAAAGGGCGACCTGAGTTCCAGAGTAGCCTGGGCAGAGGGACTTATCCCAGATGGCCTCCTCCTGACCGCCCATTAGAGCTATGAACGCAAAGAGCCCAATTTGAGTCGTCGAATGGTCAATTCTTTAGCCGCGTGAGGTAGAAGAGCACGCAGATCAGGAGAACAAATGGAAGAAGATAATGAAAATGCGCGGGTTAGCATGGTTATGTGAATAACAATCGCAAGAGGCAGAATCATAGTTAGAAGAAGAAATATTGACCAACAACCCCAACAAGCATTCTAGTACAAGCATAAATGTTGTGGGATAACCACAAAGATTTAATTTTTTTTTTTTTTTTTTTGTAATAGCAGGGTAATGTTTATTTAAAACTGTCCATTAGGGACAACCATTAAATTTTATCACGTAAACTTCACGTATAGATATTTTTAAATATTAATATGGTAGAAAAAAAAAAAATTAGAGTAGTAAGGGGAGGTCCAGCGGGTGTGTCCTTTTAAGTCTTCTGGGTTGCTCGCTGCTGATTTGATATAATGATTTGATATATAAGATTTAATGACTGATGATATATTGTATCGACATCGTACAAGATGTAACAATCCAACGTGGATTGCTATGGAGGATCTTTTGCGAATTTACCAATCAGTTATTTTGGTATGACATACCGCTGCCATTGAACATTAAAAATAATCCAGATGCAGTGTGCAACATAAAAAAAACAATCGTCTATAGGCATTGTGCTGAAAAAATTTAAAATAATTATTTGGTATGAATGCATTATCTTGAGGCATTGGATAGGACATTGTGGGATATAATAAAGAATGATAAACTATGTGGTGACTCTTTGTTACTCCTTTCAGGTGATTTCAGATTAAAAATCTGATTAATTAATTTTAAATGCTAATTAAATTAATGTTTTTTTAATATTGAACAATTACAACTAACGAAGAACATACGCGTTTAAATGCTTCGTGATCCATCCGCCGAAACTTTCTCTAAACAACTGTTAGTTATTGGCGTTGGGAAAGTATCTGTACAGTAAAATACTGGATGTACAAAATTGCAAACGGACATCTGCACATTTATCGACTCGCAAAATACTCTCATTGATCGCAGTTCCCAATTTACACACACAATATCAAAATCAAACCACCAAATTTACAAATTCAACTGCATCGTACCAATCTATTGATGCAGTTTGTGATTTCAACGAAACTGTGAATTATCCAATTAAGTTTTTAATGCCACCACACCATTTAAAATTGATGGTAGGAGCTCCGATTATTCTATATACTTCGTAGCTTGAACCCACCACGGCTGTGTAATGGTACACGATAAGTAATTAAGAAAATAATGAAAAATATCATTAGAGACATCATTTTGTATATGAAGTTTCCAGGCGAAAATGTGTTGTTGCCAATCCCTATGATTCCCACAGATTTGCCAATTTAATTCAAAAGAACTCCATTTCCAATTCGATTGGCATTCGCTATGATGATCAATAAGTCACAAGGACAAAGATTATCTTTAGGTGGCTTAGATTTGGAAACACCATGCTTTTCCCACGGACAACTATATGTGGCATGTTCTCGCGAAGGCAAACCATTCAGTTAATTTGTTCTGGGTAAAGACGGACTAACCAAGAATATTGTTCACTCCATTGTTCTGAGAGAATAATCTTTCTTTTTTTCTAACAAAATGTTTATTAACCAAAAAAAAATTATACTTAAATTATTTGCAACGCTGTCGATTATAAGTCCTACCTCACACATTACTAGTAAATACATAGGTATTTTTATTGAACTAAAAAAATATTTTCTAGAAAAAAAGGGGCAAAACAACGATTGCTGGGGTGAGCTAGTAATCCATAATAAAATCCCAAATCCCAGGAAATCACAAATTTTAAAGTTTTTATGTTTTTTTGTTTTATTATACCCGGTATTTGTACAAGGGTGTAATGAAGTCGTGTGTTTAAGCCTAAGTTGTTTTTTTTATAACATAAGAATAATTAATAATAATAAACAAAATATAATACAAAAAAAAAAGAATTACCATATTATTGCCGACTACAAACGTGAACTGGCTTTGAATTTTAACATGCTGAGCAAGGATGATCTTAAGCTAATGGCATTCCCCTCCCATTCAGTGCTGTTATCAATGAATCATTATCAATGAAAAGAAGAAGCTGCGCCAGTTGATCCTTTACCCGGCGACCCCTGGAAGGAATTTAGATGTAATTCTTCGCCTTATTGACTCTTTAGTAGACACAAACTTAAAAAAAAAAATTAAAATACAAACTCTTTTAATGGAAATATTAAGACAAACGCAGCAGTCTAAAGGATTTGGATAAGAAGGGTCCAACTCACAAAAAAATAAAACAAAATTTTTGAGAAAAAAAACAATGCTAAAATTTTAAAAATAATTAGAATAGTGTGGAACACTCACCTCCTTGATTTTCTGACTTCTCATAGTGTTTTAAAAAACAAGATATTATTAGTGCTTAGTGTTGTGAACACACAAAATGTCGAACTTTACACCTTCCGACTGGAGCATAGTGTTGCATAATTAAGGCCTTTTAAAAGAAAAACCTTAAAAACGTGGGAAAATCAATTTGAAAAAATCTATGTTCATCTGTTATACAAATTGTTTTAAAAAAATAAAGTTACCTATAAGAAACTATAAGAGCAAAAAGATAAACGGCTTTTTAATAAAAACCTGGCAACCCTTACACCCTAGTGACAACCATGGCCAAGTCTCCCTGTCAAATCTGACACTTGTGTTTCTACAAAGCAAGAAAAAGTAGAAAGTAAGCTGAAAGAACTGAAAATATTGAGGTAAGTGGCTTTGCTAAAGAAAACCTGGACATTAGACGTCGCGGCTTATCCTTTGGAGTTACTGGGATTCTTCTGAACCATGTACGCCGCCGTAAAGCCTCTCTCCAAGTACCTCCGCCTGAAGACAGTGCGGATCTACGACCCTATTTTCACCCTCCACTCCAAGTGCACCATTGTCATACTGTTGACCTGCACTTTCCTGTTGTCGGCCAAGCAATATTTCGGAGAACCGATCCTCTGCATCAGCTCCGAAAAGCACATTGAGTATGTGCAGTCCTACTGCTGGACCATGGGCACCTATATCCTGCCCACGGATGCGGATGCCGGCAGTGGCAGCACATGGGACATATCCTCCTATTCCCACGCCACCGCCGAGGCTTTCAACCTGACCAGTCTCCGCGCTCTGGTGGCCAATAATGAACAGTACGCCCGGGTGATATCCATTGCCGAGGGCGTTGGCCCCGAAACCAGGGGCGTCACCAAGCGGATGTACCTTCGCTACTATCAATGGGTCTTCATGATCCTCCTCTTCCAGTCCCTATTGTTCTACTTTCCCTCGTACTTGTGGAAAGTCTGGGAGGGTCAGAGGATGGAGCAGCTTTGCTGTGAGGTGGGCGACGCCATCATCCTGGAGGATACCTACCAGACAAGACTCCAGATGTTGACCAAGTATTTCCGGGCCCCGTTTTCTGCCATCCATTGCTGCTATTCTATCAAGTATGCCTTCTGTGAGTTCCTCAACCTACTAATCAGTGTAAGTTTTTAATTTTATTTTATTTGTTTGATTTTCTTTATTTTTCTTCGATTATTGTAGAGGTTTGGCCCAAACAAAAAGTCTTTTAGTTTCGTTTAAGAATATGTGTTGTAAAAATTCATTTATAGATATTAGGGTGTTCTTTATATAAATCGTATATGTCCTTTAGTTTAGACGGCTAGTTCTTATGGAATTTCCATGGAAGTGTGTGTCCAAAGTCTCTTTAAAGTCATAAAAACAGTGTATAAATTAGAATTTAGAACCTTAGGTTGTCCCTTATAGAATCATATATAAATAAAATGCATTCTCGTAGAAAATATAACATCACATATAATTGTTACCTAAGAAACATGTATGTTAACATCTAAATACAGTCCCAATTTTATCAATTTTGTATAAATTTTTATTTCTTTCATTTATTATCCTTGCAGATCCTCAACTTCTGGCTAATGGATGTGGTTTTCAATGGCTTCTGGCACAAGTACATACACGCCTTGGCTGCCATTCCAGTTTATGATTGGAACCTTTGGAATCTGATGACATCCCGGGTCTTCCCAAAAGTGGCCAAGTGTGAAATGTTCATTTACGGACCGAGTGGCACTCCGAACGTGCTCGACATCCTGTGTGTCCTGCCGCTGAATATTCTCAATGAGAAAATATTCGCTGTCCTGTACATTTGGTTTCTGTTTATCGCCATGTTAGCTGCAATTAATATTTTCTATCGTTTGGTCTTATGTTGTTGCTCCGAACTCCGGCTCCAGTTGCTCCGAACGCACCTGAGGGGCATGCCAAAGTCCCATGTGCGCGAAGTCCTTTCTACCACCGGCTACGGCGACTGGTTTGTCCTCATGAGTGTCAGCATTAATGTGAATCCCTCGCTGTTTAGGGAGCTCCTGGAGCAGCTGTACACCGAGCAGAAGCAATCTCGCTCCGGAAAGCGGCACTCGACGAGCCCCCAACCCACTTCCCAGGCCAAGACGGAGAGGACTCCCAGCAACAATCGCAGCACAGCCGACAACGATCCCCTGGCCATCGACCATCATTCCATCGGAACCGTGAGCAATAGACTTCGAGATGGGCTCCAGCCCACTGCTCCGACCTTAAACCTAATGGCCCCCAACGATGAGATCATCAGTATGGATCGTTTCTACCAAGAGAGTGAGGCCTGAGCTGGGCTCCATTCTTTTGGGTTCATATTGGTTTTTATTATTTTTCTTACAAATAAAGTCCAGATATTGAAATAAAGATTACTTATTGCATTAAAATAGGGGAGAACAGAAGGGAATGTGGTTGATGCAATTGATACACTACAGGGTAGTACACCATCGGGTATATCGCTAGGAGCTATCCAGTCGGAATGGACGATGCACCCTCGATGAGCTTAGTGCAAGTAGTACTGCGGCTAAGCCTGAATCCCTGTTGAAAGCTATGCAAGACTCGACTAGTTCGAAGAAATCTGTGACTAATTCCAAAACTCAAGGCTGCGTTATTAAGTTCGACCAATACAGAGGCAGAAGCTCTAGCGCAGTACCAGATGCCAAACCCCATGGTAATGGTCACATAAATAACAACAAGTGTCTCCCTTCGGAGATTTCCCAGAACACTCACAAGGAAAAGGAAGTCCTTCAAATTAAAGAGAAAAAGATGAAAAAGAAAAGTCTTTTAAGACCCCAATGTGTGCCGCTCGCCAGTAAACTTCTTAGGTGACCGCTCAAGCACGAGGAATATGAGGAAGTCCTAGCGAAGAAAATGGTTTCCATACATATTGGATTATCAAGGGAAAAGTTTAAGGGATTAGCCAATGCTCCAGTCGGTCTGGAAAAATTCGATCAATTGACGAGGAATCCCACCGGTAACACTAACAAACAAAAGGAGCTGTTCAACCATTAGTTCAACCCAAAAGTCGGCCTTTGGAAAATAGCCCTCCTAGCCATCGAAACCTTTACTTTACTGAAGCAATTCCTTCAGTCGTGAAGCTACCAAACAATATCCTCCTAAAGATGTCAGAGCGATCAGCTTATTTCGTTAATTTCCGTCTGGAGTACAACCAAGTGCAAGGAAGGAGGAGGCCAAAGCTATGATCGAGAACAAAATCAGGAGACTCCATGTCGAACACAACGAGGACTGTATTCTTCCCAAAGATAATGACAGTACTTTTTCCCCTTTCCGGTTCCTCTGAAAATGTCTCGTTTCCGGAAGTGAAAGCCCCAGACTGTACCAAATTAAAGGGGAAGACACCAGCAAGACAAACATTCCAAAGGACGATGAACATAACCACATTCTGATGGACCTCAAACCTGATAAAGAGAATACGACTACAAAGCAATACTATGGAGTTTTTCTGTTTCAAATCCGAATCGGATCTACAGGTTCAAGATGGCCCTTACGATGCTGACGAAAGCACCGAAACCGAGAATGATATCGAGAATGAGACTGAACTGGACAAATTGGTTTATTCTGATAAATTCCAGGGAGACCCTGAATTTTTTGATGTGATCCTTGAAGACCGGGAACTCGAAGACCCTAATGAATAGGTAAAGCTTTAAGGATGAGTAACGAATCACAAGATCTTGGAGGCCAATTCACAGGTCCAAAACGTGAAATTAGGCGGTGACCAAACGTGTCTTTCAATAAATCGATTGGGGCACGAGATTTGTGACATGTTGTTGAGTTGTTGGCACCTTGTACATACATATCTTGTAATTAGTTTTGGACATTTTTTCAGAATTCTGAACCATCGTTTCAAATGCCGAAGAAAATCTTGCTCTTGTTCTTTTTTCGTCTTGTTTCTCAACATTTTTATTTTGTTTTAGTTTAATATAATTTATTAATTAGTGGTTATAGTCGATTTTACAGTTAAGGGTTTTTTTAGAGGTATAGAACTTTAATTTGGCATTACTGTTCAAGATGGCTATAGCCGATTTAACAGCTGTGAAGTGATTTATTCTCCGTTTGGTCTGGCTATTTTTTATGAATAGACTCACGCCTGATCATCGCTTGCAAATAGTGCAATTTTTAGTGCAAGTGCAAATAGTGCCATCGAGCATAAGAATTGAATCTGTGTACATCCACTTTATGGACAATTTTTCGGAAGGATCTTTATTTGCATGCTTACAAAATCCAACTCTTGCCAGAATTGAAGATAACCCTCAAGTGTATACCAATGTTGGAATCATTGGTAATTTTTAAAAAAAGATGATGGCCAGAACAGTATAGAACCAAGATTCTAACTTTTTCATTCCTGAATTGAACAGCCATGATTTATGAAAGCTGAACAGCTCGTGCCCCAATCGATTTATTGAAAGACACGTTTGGTGACCGTCTAATATCACTGGCACTCCGGTCTCCTGCTTAAATTGAAGACTAACCTGCCCAGACCTTACTTCCTCTTTCTGGAGTCGTTCCTGAAGGACCGCAAATTTGCGGTCAGATGCGGAAAGGACACTTCCGGACTCAGGCAGGTCCGCGCCGGAGTCCCCCAAGGCAGCGTGCTGGGGCCTTTATTATACAATGTCTACACGGCCGATCTCCCAGTTTTGCGGAGCCCCAACATAATGGCAGCGACCTATGCAGCGACCGCTGCTGACAACGCTACTGAGGCAGCTGCTGTCATGCAGGAGCAACTAGATCTTCTCAACGATTGGCATAGAAGGTGGAATATACAAGTGAATAAGGATAAATCCACCGCCACCACATTTTCTCTCCGTCGGGGAAATTGCCCACTGGTCCACCACAACAGCTCCCCCATCCCACAAGTAGAAAACCCAAGATACCTGGGCTTCACGCTAGACAGGAGGCTTACTTGGAAGCCTCACCTAGTCAAAAAGCGAAAGCAATGTGAAGTAAGATTGAAGGCGTACTATTGGCTGATGGGTAGGAGGTCAAAGCTAAGGACCTCTTCGAAAATCCTAATCTACAAGGCGATTTTCGGCCAATTTGGACATACGGGATTCAAGACTAATATTCAGACTATCCCGACGTTTGAAAATAGAGCCCTCCGTATCGCCACTGGGGCCCACATCTACCACGACAACCAGACAATCCACGAGGTGCTTGGCTTCCCATAGGTGAAGGAGGAGATCCAGAGAAGCAGCAGCAAGTACATCCAGAGACTACACAACCACCCCATCGAGTTGGCGACCACTCTCCTCGACAACAGCGAACAGATGCGGCGGCTGCGCAGAACTCACCCCCTGGACTTCATCCGGAATAACTCTTAGACTTTCTTATTTTTCCACCTTTAACTTAAGTTACACATAAGCCAAGTTTTCTGCCGCAATATTTAATGGTTGTCCCTGTTTTAAATAAAATCACAACTGTCATAAAAAAAAAAAAAAAAATGTAACACCGATAGACTACTTTCTGTGAGGTAGTGTAGTCATTGGTCTATTTGGATAAGCCATAAACGCTCGACATATAAAACACAACATTCGCCACAAATGTTGGAAAAAGTCATTGAAATTTGGTAGTCCAGATTGGACTACATCCGAGCCAGGGATATGCCAGTGATCTAAAATTAAGTAATTTAAAATTTAATGCCTCAGTATTATCTTTTGAATAAAAAAAATCATTTCAATCGAATAATCCATAGTTGTTTTATTGAAATTTAAAGTTAAAAAAAAAAACTCTCTAAAAAAAAACTAAACCCTCTAAAAAACCACCCATTATTACGTAACAAAAAACTTATTTATTTTCTTTAAACACTACATATAAGAAATTTCTATTAAAGGTACATTTTCGGTGAGTATCCGGTTCCAATTTTCGCAGTCAATGTGTTAAATACATTTCTCGATTGTGAGATACCTGGTACTCTTCCTCCCTAGATCTTTTCTTTTCGAAAATGGCAGGCGTTGAATAATTCTATAAATATTTCTATAAAATTATATAAAAAAGTTCTCAAATGATTTAGCACAGATTTCGCAAAGGCTTTCGTGTGGGAATTGCTTTTAATCTCTTCAGTTTCCTTGCCGCCAACGAATTCTCAATATAAACCGAAATAATCGTTGAGTCAGCTCATTAATAATTAGACATTAAGGGAAATTCCCAATAAATAGGCGGTGGGATCTTATAAGGCTATGTTTATATAAACAAGAAAGGAAAGCAAACTTCGGGCGGAGGCAAAATTGATATACCCTTGCAGTTAAAAGCGGATATAAATCGCAAACATCGGATATTGTTGGCCGATCCTTATGAGAATATCATAAGAAAACCAACTAATTACAATAAAATATCTAAAAAAAAAAAATTCTAAGCTTCTATCTTGGAAAATACCAAAGTTGGTATTTCTACCAAATATCACTTCCGATCGTTTAGTTATAGGGCAGCTAAAGGATATAGTCGGCCGATAGTTATAAAATTTGGTAGGTCGGATCAACTGACTAAAAATATAATCTGCACGAAGTTCCATTGTGTGAGGTTCGATTGTTCAGTTGTATGGCAGCTATAGGATATAGTCGGCCGATCCCAGCCATTCCGACTTACTGAGTCCAAAATAAAGAAGGGTGTGTGCAAAGTTTTAAGTCCAAAGCTTTAAGGGGACCCCCCCCATTCTCTGTTTTAAAAAATCGATTTTTTTTTTAAATTTAATTCGAACTTGTAACTATTCAAGAATGTTCCCTGAAAATTTCAAGTAAAAATTTCAAAAACTCTTGAAGATATAGCCGATTTATGGTGGAAGCCTCAGGCGACGGCGAGAGCCGTCTCAAAACTTTAAACGCGTTTTTCTCGAAACAGTGTTTTTACGACTGGCGCATGAGGTTACTCAAAAACTATTAGTCCAATCGGTTCCAATTTTAACACGTTATTCTTTTATAACGTGTAAGTCCAATTTTAACACGTTATTCTATACATATATAGCTCTCGTATGAACTAGGATAAATCAAATCGGTGAAGATCTTCTTTACTTTTCAACTCGATTTGTGGCTGAAAAAAATGGAAATTTTCAAAAAAAAATTTCAAAGGTCCGCCATTTTGTTAATTTTTGAGCGAAGTTAATAATCCTAGTTCATACGAGAGCCAAACATGTACTTTTTCTAATCCCGTTGGAATTTTTGGATTCAGATGTTCCAGTGAGCGGAAATCACATGCGCCGCCGAAAAGAAGGGCTTTTCTTGGATCACAAAAACAACAACAAAAAAAAAAAAAAAAATTCTGTGAAATGATTTTCTTC